GCTATTTACTGCTTCTCTAACAACAATTTGTCTTTTGTCCCCAAAACAGCAGTGAAATCATTTCCACCAATTAACTTCAGGTTATTAAATCCAGTGGATATATTTCTTCTTTAATTATTTCATAGTGTTAACAACTTCCTCTTTCTTAAACCTCTCTTCTTTTGACTTTCATAAATAACAATTTTCTTTTTGGTTTTCCTATTACATCTCTGGACACCCCTCTCAGTCTCCCTCACTGGCTTCTTTTCTTCTGATCCCTCTAAAAATGACAGGGTTCCCAAAGTTTTCTTCCTAAATATGGGTATGTTTTTCCACACTGACTTCCACAACCACTAGTATGGATGACTCATAACTCTAAATATAAAGCTCATTCCTCTCTGCAGAGTTTCAGTCTCACATTCACTTGAATATCTCTTACCACAAGAACTCAGTATGCCCCAACTTGTCTCATTGTCCTTGTTCCTGAGCAAGCTGCTTCTGTACTTAAAAAATAGTGCCCAGAGGCCCAGAAGAAAACCTGTCATTCCTGAATTTTCCTTCTTAGCCACTACATCTTTGCAAGTTTTTTCTCCTGAATGTAGCATAAATCTCTTCATTCTCATTGTCATTGCTTTATTTCACCTAATTGCTTACATAGCTTTCTAACTAGCCTTTTCTTTCTTCAGTTTGACCCTACCAAACCTAATAGACTTACTATTACTAGAATGATGTTTCTAAAATGTGGATCCATGTTTATTTTATCAAAACTTATCTATAGATTTGATGCAAGTCCAATAAAAATCATGACTTTTTTAAAAAATAGATTTGAAAAGGTGATTCTAACATAAAGAATAGCAAAGAGCTAAGAACAACCAAGACATTTGTGAAGATAGGATGGAAATTCTTTACGGATACCATGTTTATTTGGAAGCCATCATAAAGGCAGTGTGTTGTTGTCTCACAAGTAGAAAAATAACCCAGTGATCCATAGTAGAAAACCCAGGAAGACCCTCTGTAAATGGAACTTTGAACAGAGGGTTAACTCTTAGGGCAAAATACGGAAAACAAACTACTCAGTATTTTAAGTAGGAGGAATTTAAAACAGGAAAAACAGAGTTGTATAAATTATTGAAGCACTGGAAGTACAAAGTTTGTGACACCAGGGTGCATTAACTTTATAATTCATTGCTACAACCACCCAGAGAGTCAGAAATGTTTGGCTGCTACCCAGAGGTCAGCAAACTTAGGGACACTCCTACTAAGGTCATAGCATCTCCAGATTGCAACCCCTAGACAGGTGACTAGCACAGGAATTCTGAGTCTCTCTGACTCCTAAAAAGCTTCCTATCTACCCAGGTCTGTATTTCCCCTGCCATCGTTGCTGAGAATGAATTGTTTCTGTCTCCCTACTGTTTTCCAAATTTCCTAAGTGTCTTTTTCTGACAGCAGCTAAGCTACATCTCAAACCTTGCTGGCAAAGAAGTTGGGAAAATTTAATCCCTAGGTTTCTAGCTCTTGTGATATAGGGGAGAGCAAGAAGGGGAAATCAATGGGTGCCACAGGCCACAGAAAACATCTAGCTTGGGGAACATTGAAGATCAATGGAGAAAAGAAGAACTGGTCGATAAATAGTGCTGGGACAACTGGATATCCATCCCCCAAACTGAAATTGAGTTCCTGCCTCATGCAATACACAAGAGTCAACTTAAAGAGATAAGGACTTTTGTGAAAAGAAAAACTTTAGGGAGAAAATATAGAAGAATATTTTTTCTAGTTTTGGGGTAGGGAAGATTTTGTTAAAGTACAAAAATGCTAACCATAAAAGAAATGATTGATTAATTTTAATATATGAAACTAATAACTTCCGTTTACCAAAAAATACCATCAAGGAAATGAAAAGACAACAAAGTAGCATGTGTATCACACATGTAACCAACAAAAGTTTAATACACAGAATGTAAAAAATAACTTTTATCAACTTGTAAGAAAAATATACACATGGAAGCAAAATAGAAAAATGGGCAATGACATGTAAATGTATGGCCAATAACCATAGACAGGTGCTTAATTTCTTCACAATCAGAGAAATAAAAAATTATAATCAAACTGAAGCATTATACTTACTATATTGGTGCATATTAATAAGCAAATTTTGAGTCCTGACTTCACCTTCTTATGTACAACATCTTTATATGTTTTATCTCCTGAATACAACCTAAATCTGTTTTTTTTTTCCTTTTCACTCCCACTGTCATTGCTTTGGTTCACAAAGTAATGGAGAGAATTTGGATCAATGGGAATTCTTATATAATGGTCTTGAAAAGGTAAATTAGAAAATCAATTTGGAAAACAAGTTGTGATTGTCTTAGAAATCTGAACATGGAAACACCCTATAACTGAGTAAGCCATACCTAATATATAATATACCCGAGAGGAATTTTTGTACATGTGCCCAGGAGACATGCTCCTAGCAAACAGCTTGTAGTAACTGAGAACTGGAATTTAAAAAATCCATTATTAAGAGAATGACTATATATATATGTGTACAATATATACATACATATTGTGAATATATATATTGTGCTATATTTAACACAATGGAATGTTGACACGGCAGTGGAAGTAAATGATCCACAGCTATACTCAGTCACAAATGAATCTTAGGAATCTTGTGTTGAATAAAAGAAGTCTAAAAAGCCCTCAACAGTATGACACCATTAAGATAATACTCAAACACACACATGAAACAACATTTTTAGACATAAACATTTAATAAAGCTATTTTTAAAAAGCAAAGTAAAGATAAACACAAAATTCAGTATAGTGCTTTATCTCTGGTTTATCGAGGAGAGGGTAAAGTGAGAGAAGTACATAACTAGGTGCAATTTATTCAGAATGTGTGCATTGGATGGTAGGACCGAGAGCGTTATGTATATTATTACGCTTTACAACATAAATATGTGTTAATAAATTCTTTTGTGTATGTCAGACGTAGTAAAAATTTAAAGAAAAATGATTCGTATTCTAAGATGTTCAGTGTGTTTTAAGAGTAAGGCTGTCTTTTAATATTTATTTCATTTTTGGTGTTTAACAAATACATCATGATACTTTAAGAACCTGCTTCCTAGCTGCCCTTGTCTATAAAGATAGACTCACATATATGGCTACCCAGTTGCTAAAAATACTCATTTTACTTCAGTGCCAGAATGGCTTACTGGGCTTACTGCCCACCAAAACAAAAAGCAGTATAATGAAAGCAAATATATATCAGGAAAAAAATCTGATTTACTAAACTGGAGGAAATGTAGCATTCATTGAAAAGCACCTGGGGATGTTACGTGCTAACATCCAGCAGAGAAATAAACCTGTGAAAATGACAAAAGTGGAGTCTGGATCAGTCACTATGGGTTTTTGGTTTTCTTTTGAAATCTTAGTACAGTTCACTGTTGGAGGTAGTGGAGAAAAAAGCAAAACGAAATAAAAGAGGAAATCGTCCATTGTCTCTTTTTTTAATCCTCCATTATCTCCGTGTTCCTTGTGGTCATTGTTTCAGTGCCTTAGCTTTACACACAAGGCCTCTCCTTTTGGGTCTCTGGTTTCTCTGCCTGTCCTGCCTTACCTCCTGTCACATTGCTGGCCACTGCCTGCTCTCACCCTTCTCATAAACAAGACTCAACTTCCTGTGGATCCCTGAGTAGGTTCTGCTGCTTCATGCCTCTGTGCCTTTGCCAAGTCTGTTTGCTCTTCCTGGAAATCCCATCCTTTCTGTCTTTCCCGCTGACCTCTCACTGAGAAGCCTTGCCTGATCCTTTAGTGTGAGGGCTCAATTAGTGTCCCTTATGCATAACTTTCTGGTACTTATCATGCTCTCATAGAAGCTAATTTTCCTTTCTTCCCTACTGGACCTTAAGCTCTTTGGGATCAAAAGTTTTATCTTTTTTTTCTTTTTCAATAATTTTACAAGTGCTACCCAGTGCTTACAAGAGTGCTTTATGGTCAATAATGTTAACTGAATCAGTGTGTATGGGGAAGGTACTATTTGGAGCCCAGCTTCCTTAACTGCCTTACCCTTTCCTCCATCGTTCTTCCCTAGGGCTGGAGGGCTCCTCGCACTCTCCTCCCCAGTTCACTCTGCTTTACTTCCTCAGGAACCTTCTTTGCTCTCTATCAGTAGATGGTTTTCCCCCATATGTGTTCTTTCAGAGCACCATTTATTACTCTTACTGTAGTTGTATATTTATACCAATTTGTATCATTCTTTGAATAATGTTTTGCTTCTTCAACTAGACTGTAAGCTCCCTGAGTGTAGGAACCAGGTCTGCTTTTGTTCATAACTGCACTTCTACTATGCGGCATAGGGTAGACTCTCCATAAGTATTTGCTAACTGAAAGAATGAATGAACTCTGAGCCCTGCTGGAATTCAGGACGCAGGAATGCACTGGTAGGGGATGCACAGCCCACTCTGTTATCTGAGTACGTGTGTGAGGGTGATGCACCTGTTCAAAGAAGGTTTCCATGGGCATCTGCAGGAGGGATGAAGATGGGGACTATAGCATTGTGCTTGTTTGAGTTACTTATTTCTGAACTTAGAGGAGAAAAGGTTTACAGGCAGAGGGTGAAGGACTGCTTTTCACGAGGGAAACTCAGATGTGTGAGATACATTGTTTTGTGTCCTGGTTGTCATAGTCACACAAGGTGGAGAGAGAAGGGAATTCTCCTGCCCTTGCAGTGTTTTCTGCTGTGGGTGTGGGCACTAACTGAGGATGAACTTGAGAACTCCCTCTGTGCCATCATGTGCAGTGTAAACAGCCAGGCACTGCTCTCAGGTAGTTTTTTTGGGGCTGGCTCCAAAAGAAAGACCTCCTGGGAAGAAAAACCATGCGCACTCCCACAAGACAGCCTGAGGCAGAAATAACTGAGATTCTGGAACCCTTTGAAACCTGTCTTGTGTGGGGGAGTACAGAGCAAATAATTGGAAGGTTCTGTAAAGTCTTTAATTTTGATCCCTTTATATCCATAGGTTGCTGAGCCTGGGAAGTCAGGATGTGTCCTTGCAGTTCTCTGTGTTTCCAGGTAAGAACTTGTTTCTGAATTATCTGAAATTTTGCAATGGATATAGTCTCTAGTCTCAGTCTTTAGTGATGTGTTTTACTGGCAAATTTACTTGGTTTATAGTTTGACTTGTAAAAAGAGCCCTTTTGTTTGACCATCTGGGAATAGAACAAGTTATTGATGTTAATTACTTCTCCATATTCTATTTTTTGTGATCCTCTCAGTTTTCAGCCTTTGGTGATACATATGACCATCATTAATATTTCATGTTACATGAGATGGCCTCTAGGTCTTCATTAAGCATGCTTATGTTGCCAAATGAATATGTTAATCTGAGAGAGAAAAGGAATTTATTGCCTCAGCCTTTTTGCCTAGACTTGGTTATATTTTCTATATTTTCTTCACATTCAATTTACTTTTATTCTTAAGCCTTTAATTACTCTGGAGGCAATCTTTATCATCTGTAAGAAGCCTAACATCTGTAGACTTCCCTTCACATGAAAGCATCAATTCAGTTTCCAGTGATAGTGCCTCTGTTCTTTGAACAAAGGTACAAGGCAGGGCAGCCAACCTGAACAAGTCGGAGGGCATCATCCTGCATGTAAGGGAGCTGGGATCTGTTTCTGGGTCTTCGACTGACTCCCTGGGCCTCAGAGTTTTCCTCTATACAATGAAGGTGATGAGCAGAACATTATCTAGAAACAATAGACCAGTACTCAGTTGTGTTGCGTACTTTGGGGCAGACATTGCTGAATTCAACACACACACGCAAAAAGGCCTGATGCATATCAGAAGGTGGAGGAGGAGGCTGTGTCCCAGAGGCAGAGAATTTCTTCGGGCTCAGTAGTCCAAGCAAGTCTTACCTTGTCTTCTCCTCCAAAAAAAAATCTCATGCAACCTAATTCTTCATTCCTCTTCCCTCTTTCTCCATCACTGACCAAAGTTTCTTCTTTCGAGTCCCTGTAATAGGGCACTTTGTGCTCCTTGGCTTTGTAGCTATAACGTAAGACTCCTCTCTTCTCAACATATTTGAACTATGCAGCCTCAGGTAGTTTGGATAATGCTTGTCTTGGTATAGTCCACAGGGTCTTGTGACTACCTTAATTAGCTTCTTTGTAGCTCTATCAGGCCATCAAGCCCACCACCTACCTTCAGAAAAATCCATCCACCCAAGGAGAACTCTCATTTCTTGGTGCTTTCTTGGGTCTAGCAGATTTCAGGCAGATGAACATTTTAGTGTTCCTTAACATTCAGATTCCCAGGCCTCATGGGGACTCCAGTCCCAAAACTGAAGATGAGTATAGTTCTTCCTATTCTAGTTCAATCCGTTGTTCTACTAGAGATTGGAGGACTTCTTTATTACATGTGTCTAAAGACCAACGTTAATTTTTTATAGTTCATGTTACTTAAACTCATGCTGAAAAAGGGGTATTTTCTTTCTTACCAGCCCTGTTCTTTAGAGGTTATGATCTTTGGTTATTGTTCTGTAAACTATTGGGTTGTTGCAAGCTCTGTCTTGGATCTGGAAACATCAGCAAAGTCTCACAGTTGGTTCCATTTAAATTAGGTTAATTTTAAGCTTCTCTGTAATGGGAAATCTATTGGTGCTTTATTTTTTATCAATTTCTTTTATTTTTTTTTTTACTGTTTCTATCATATGATATTTTTCTTTACAACAAATGAAAACATAAGATAAATCCTGTTTTGTAACCAGCTTGGTTTTTCATATAGATATCATTTAACCCCAATAATTTTCTATGCCAGTTATCATGGTATTCCAGTGATTGTGGTTTCCATATTTATCAAATTTTTGATTGATCATTTAAATATTGGTACATTTAAAAATCTATATTCAGACATGTAATTGGGGTATCTGGCAAGCAGTGTACTATAGTTTGGTCATTAAGATGATTCATATTATGTAACACCTGTGTTTGTTTGACTTCTCACCAAAAATTCAGAGCTATCTGATCATTGGCTTCAAATCCTCTAGTGCCTCCACTTTCAAATGCAAAACTGGGATGCGTTCCCATTGTTGGTTACCTCCGTAAGACAGAAGCCCACAAATAGTTCAGATTTCCAGGGAGTCTTGGATTCTGACCTGCCTCATAGGGATCAGGATGATAATTCAATTTTCTTTGTTATTTCTCAGTTTCCCAATCTAGAAACATGGTGTATAAAAATGCATCTTTGCAAACAAGTGACAAACCAATTGTGTTAGTTTCCTACGGCTGTCATAACACAGACTGTGTGGCTTAAAGCAACAGAAGTTTACTCTCTGACAGTTCTGGAGGCTAGATGCCCAAAATCAACGTGTTGGTCGTGTTGGTTTCTGCTGGGGGCTCTTAGGAAAAATCTGTTCCATGCCTCTCTCCTAGTTTCTGGTGGTTACTGGCAATCTTTGGCATGTCTTGCCTTGTGGGTGTATTATTCCAGTCTCTCCTTCAGTCTTCATGTGGCATTCTCCTTCCATGTGTCTCTGTGTCCAGAGTTCCCTCTTCTTAGAAGGACATTAGTCAAATAGAATTTAGGATTCACCCTAATCCAGTATGACTTCATCTTAACTTGATTACATCTGCAAACCCCCTATTTCCAGATAAGGTCACGTTCAGAGGGTTTTGGGTGGACACAAATTTTGGGGGGACAATATTCAACCCAGTATGCTAACCAACCAACAAACTATCATTTAGCTTTTCTTGTTGGGGGAGAGGGGGTTTAGTGGACATCTCCTGGGAAAATTAGAAACAGATTTGGGTGCAAGTCAGAGAAAACCAAAACAACGTATTTTCTCTTATTCTCTTTTTTTTGTATACGACAAGAAACCTGGAGAGATAGCACAGGAACAGGCACTGGACATTTTAAAAAAAAAAATTTTTTTCCAGCAGGACAAATTACTGCAGTAAAACAAATCAGATTTCAGTTAGCAAGGAAAGAGGGAAAACAGATATTCCAAGAGCAGACTAGTAATGTCTGTAGGACTTCCCCAGTTTATCAGAACCAGGACTCTGGTCCTCAGTGAGGAATTAAGGTTAATTGTTTTAAGTGGCCAATGTCTGTGCAGACACGTGATATGGATCCAAGGACTGACTTTTTCCAGTCCTGGCCTGAAATGCTCCTACCTACTGTCAAATAAAATCTTGTTTTGTAAGCTTCAGCGACTCCCATGCTATTACAGCTTCCTTATGGAGCTTGTGTTTTGTGAATATATATATCACTAACTGAAAACTATGGAACTAAAGTACTGGTTGGATAGTATGCTAGTAAGTGTGTATTTTACAGTTGATGTAGCCAGCCCTCTGTTGCTGGACATTTAAGTGCTGATATATTTCTTATCAATTTTCGTTCATATAATTCTCTAATTGGGTGACTTTAGAAGTCTCCCACAGTCCTTAGTCTCTGCATGAAGCTGATCTCAGGTGGATTTTATTGAGACTGATGTCATCCTGAGTGGGACACACTGAGCTGTTCTACGCTGGGTGCATTTGCATGCAATTTTAACCAGGCCAAAAGCGATGGCAAAGTATCACCTGATAGATAATATGAGAGTAAAGGAGAGAAAATAGTCCATAGTTTTTCGTTTACAACTTTCCCCTTTTTTGTCCCCATATGCATGGCTTTGGACTGAGTTGCCCTTTCCCATTATTACCATTTTATTTACCCCTAAAATTAGCACAAAGATCTAATTGTTGTTAGTTCGTTAAGACAGATTTTAAAAACTCAGTCTCAGCTACCCACTGCATTTTGTCTCCTCCTCTCTTCACCTCCTCTTTGGTTCTGCCACAACCATCTGACCCCTTACATAGGCTCTGGCCTCCAACAGATGCTTGGCTTCTCTGTATCCCATTTCCCTTTGTTCCTGGGCCTGTCTGCTAGGGACTTCTGAGGCAGGAGGAGGCCCAGCATTACACCTTTCCCCAGGCCGTATGCTGCATACTAATGCTCGCTCCCTGGGCGTTGGTAATTGCAGATACGGGCTGTTTGTGTCAGGGATGAAAGGTGGTGCACAGCTGCAGCTGCCAGGCAAAGATAATGCAGGAATGAGAGTGTTGAAGTAGCTCTCTCAGACCGTAAATTAACTTTGCTTATTTCTCTTCTTTTTCTCTCCTTTTCCATTCAGTCTTTCTGCCTGTTCAGCCTCTTTCTCGAGACTTTGGTCTGTTTTGCTACGTTAACTGAGTTGGCTGTTGTGGAAGGAATGGTGGCCCTCCCAGAAGGGAAAGGTACAGGGACGGTAGGGCCAGGGGGGCTCGGAGGTGGGGGTAGGAATAGGAGGGCAGAGCTGCATACTGACGGGAAGAGTTGTATCACGTATCACGGCACCTCGCTCTAAGCACCGATTAGAGTGTTTCTGAGATTATAATTCAGTTCAGGGTTCTAATCCTTGGCCAGTATGTTGAAGTGTATATTGCAAGGCTAGTGATGTTTTGCCCACCTTACATTTTAATACTGGATAGTTCCACCTGCCTCTGGGAATTAAAGTGAATGATGCATTCCACACTCAGTGAGTCACTCTCCGTCTTCCTTTGCACAGTTGGAGCACACCTCATTGTGCACCCCTGGCTTGCCAGTCTCTTACTTTGCTTTGCCATTCCTCTTTCTCCCTTATCTTGCAGGAGTACAAGTGCTATTTGTTCCTCTCTGTGCCTTGCAGCTCAGCACTGAGGTAATTCACCCTTCCTCCCCTTATTGACTGACTCTAGGAGTGAGCACAGAAATCAGCAGACCGCCCTCTGCCCGGCCTGACCTGGCTCCACGCAGGGGGCCAGGTGGAGGCAGCTTTGATGAGTTCCTGTGGCCACTGCACCAGTGGACTGGCCATTGGTGACCTCCACTGTGTGCGCTCCCCTGTGACCCCTTTGACAACACCATTTGTTGTCATTGATTTCCTGATGCTCGAAAGGCTGGTGGAATCTGCAGGCAGTTTCTTAAATCTTAGAGGAGGAAAGGCTGCTTTCTAACCCTTTTGGGATCTGCCAGTCTCTTTTCTGGCTGGAAAGAGGATCATCTAGTGACTGAGTAAGTGTTCAATCACTAGTCCTATTTAATTCAGCAGATATTTATTGAGAAGTTGCTTGGAGTCAGACGTGATGCCAGGCAGGACAAGGAATAAAAGATAAGAGACCCAGACCCTTTCCTTCTGGGAGCTCATAGCCCAGAGAGGGATTATAGTAAGACATGCTTCTGAACTAGATCTATAGATCTAATAAGACATAATAATTCTCTGATACCTTGGGCTTTGGGTAGGCCAAGATACAGCGGATTCATTCTGACTGGGACAGGACTTGGGAAGTTTTAGGAGGTGATGAAATGTGAATGGGGCCATGGAGGAAATGTGTAATTGTAACAAAGTGTGTTTAGGGGCACATGGTAGGGAGCGGGATGAATAGAAAAAAGGGTATTCCAGATGGGAAGTGAAGAAAAAAATACTATTGTGGTTTGGGTAGGGTTGAATTCCACATAAGTATGTGTTTTAGTCAGCTTGGATGCCGTAAAAATATCATACATGGGGGCTTAAACAACAGAAATCAATTTTCTCACAGTTCTAGAAGCTAGAAGTACAAACTAGGGTGTCACCATGGCTGGGTTCCAGTGAGAGCTTCCTCCATGGCTTGCAGGCAGCTACCTCCTCATTGCTGGGTCAGAACATGGGGGTGGTGGCAGGGTGGGGGGAGAGAGGGAGCACGGAAGCCAGCGGAGAGTGAGCTCAGAGTTGCACAACAGTGACCCGGGACACCCCTCTGCTCTCTTCTTTGGGTCTCAGTTTCATCATTTGCAAAGTGAGAGAGTGGTGCTAGGCGATTTCTCAGGCAATACTATCTTTCCTTCTTCCTTTCTCCCCAATTCCTTTCCTCCCTCCTTCTTTTCTTCCGTCTTTCCCTTTCTTTCTTCCTTCCTTTTTCGAAAAATATTTGTTAAACACTCACAAACCTCCTGCTGGATGTTGTGAGGTGAATGTTGTGAGAGCATAGCACTGCCATGCTACACCTCTTGCCTGTCCCCGGTAACACCATGCAGCACAGTGAGCTTGCAGGAAGGACACGGAGGTTGTGCCCCACCCCGTCTGATCACCTGTAGTCCATGCACAAAGTCCTCCAGGCCCTTTTCCTTCATTGTCTGCACCTTCTGCCCTTCAGTCTTGTTTTTGCTGGGCCTCTACCTGAGCAGCATTCTAGTCTAGTCCATAAAGAAGGCAAGAGAATCTTTTTCTGTGCCCATCGAGATTGTATATTTGAAGACTCAGGATCTCTTGTAGTGACCTGTGTGCTCACCCAGTGGGAATACTCAATATCTCTATCTGCAGACTATGAGAAATTAACCACCACCTATTAATTGTCTGAAAGCAAGTTTATGCTGATGAACATAAAATATTAAGAACATATAGGTTTTACAGGTCAAATAGTACATATGAGACATTAGTATTGAGGAATTATGTACCATGTGCCTACCAGTGAGGTCTGCTGGCATTAAATCTAGTAGCGGCTGGTGCCTTAACCCCTCCTCTGTATCCCACAATACTTACCTTCTAGACATAAGTGGGAGACATTTAGTTTCTGTCTGT